TCTCTCTCTCTCTCTCTCTCTCCCTTCCTTCTTTCCTTCCTTCCTTCCTTCCTTCCTTCCTTCCTTCCTTCCTTCCTTCCTTCCTTTTCTTTCTTTTTAATGTTTTTTTAGAGACAGGGTTTCTCTGTGTAGCTTTGCACCTTTTCTGGAACTCATTTTGGAGACCATTATGGACTGGCCATAAATGTGTCTGTTTGTTTCTGGTTTCTCTCATGTGTTACCTTCTGAGATTAGGTACTGTGATGCATCCACTCTTGATTCTTTTGCTCAAGACTTGTTGAAAGTTTGAGGTTATGTGGCTCCACATAAAACTTCAGGATTGTTTTCCTGTGTTTGTGAAGAATGTTATTGGAATTTTGACAGGGATTATATTGAGTCTTTAAATCATTTTGAATAGTTTGGCTATTTCTTTTCTTTTCTTTTTTTCTTTTTTGGATTTTTTGGAGACAGGGTTTCTCTGTGGTATTTTTGGTGCCTGTCCTAGATCTTGCTTTGTAGACCAGACTGGCCTCGAACTCACAGAGATCCACCTGCCTCTGCCTCCCGAGTGCTGGGATTAAAGGCGTGCACCACCACCGCCCGGCAACCCCTTTCTTTCTAGTGAATTTACTTGTGAAGTTTCTTGCCAACAGGCTGATAGCTCACTCTTAAGTTTCCTTCACTTCAAACTTTGGACAGTAGAGGCTTATGATTTCCTTTCTGTTAAAAGGTCTCTGGATAGCCTGCTGTGGTGGTGAATTACTTTAATCCCAGCACTCGGGAGGCAGAGGCAGGCGGATCTCTGTGAGTTCAAGGCCAGCCTGGTCTACAGAGTGAGATCCAGAATAGCCAAGGCTACACAGAGAAACCCTGTCTGGAAAACAAAACAAAACAAATAGTATTATCTATCAGTTTTCTGTGATTGTCACAACAAATGACCACACTTCATGGTGTAAAGAGACAGCAATGTATTTTCTCACAGTTCTAGAGAGTAGAAATCTGCAGAGAAATACTTCTTGACCTTTTGACTAACATCATATGAAGAAGTTCACACCCACGATGTTGGTGAGGCCAAGCCACCAAAGACTCCAGGAGAGAATCCTTGTCTCTTCTAGCTTCTGGTGGTTTTGGCTTGTGGCAGCACAACTCAAATCTCGGCTGTCATCTTTATCTTGATGGGGTCTCCCCCCAACCTCCTGTCTCCTGAGGCCCAGGCTTGCTTTGAAATCACTGTAGGACCCAAGCTAAGAACTCAGACACTCCTTCTACCTCTGGATCTCAAGGGCTGGTATTATTGGTGTGAACCACTTCATCTGCTTTAAGAGTATTTCTTTCAAGAGTTTTCCCCCTGGGGGGCGCTCACCAACCTAAGACAGAGCACCTGTGTGGCCTGGGCAGGCATCTCCATGACGGTAAGGTGACCTGCTGACGTCCCTAAGTCAGAAGCTCATTTTTTTTAGTAAAAGGGGGACATGTAGGGCCCTGGCCCCCGTTTTGGGTAACTGTTGCCTTGCTTGCTGACCTTGACCTTGATATCCTCCCTATGCTAATTCCCTGCCGGGTTCTACCCTCCTGAATGCTTAAGGGAATTCCTTGTCTGTGTATCCTGAATAATGGGTGTTAACAGCTTAGATACAAGATTGTAAAACATCAGTAGCGAACTTCTGCCCTCTGGGGTTCTCCCATTGTGCTGTAAGCCTGTATTTAAGACCTCCTCCCTCCTTCAATAAACAGCATTTGGCATTAAAAAAAAAAAGACTTCTATCCAGAAGTCTCTCAAAATTCAATAGTGGGGTGTGGGGGTCAGCAGAAGATGGAGTGGGGTGAGGAAGGACTAAAGAAGGACACAAGGTTACTTTGGCGAGTGACAACAATGTCTACTGTATTGGCTAAGATGATGTCTTACAAATGTATCTATGTATCAAAATTTGCCAAGTTATTTGTTTTAAAGATATTCTCATTTTTTATGTCATTCTACTCAATAAAACTGTTTAAAAGTAAAGAGAGAGAGAGAGAGAGAGAGAGAGAGAGAGAGAGAGAGAGAGGAGTTTTCCCATTTGGAGCTCCACTCAGCCCAGTCATGCTACTTTGTAGATGAGGAATCTTTGGCTGACAGAGATTGGGGGACTTGCTCCAGGCAAATTAGACTACCTGTACCACAGAGTGGTGCCCTACGGAGAGGAAAGCAGTTTGACACCCTGAAGAGGTCTTGTTGTGGAAGACCCTAGACCCTAACCCTTCAGGCTTATTACACCCCCCCACACCCACACCCCCACACCCCCCACCCCCTACCCCCGCCAAGCCCCAGGAGAATAAGGAACTAAAAAGAAAACTAGTTCTAAGGGCAACCTGACTCAGCCATTATTCAACTACCCCTGCCACAATGTAACAATGTAAAGAGATCTCTGTTAAGAGATGCTCTCAACTGTGACTGGAATAATTGCAAGTGTTCCAGGAAGGACCACTGTGACCTTTGTGTAAACTCCACTCCCACCCTGATACCCCCCACCCCCTTGAGGTTTCAGGAAAAATGTGCTTGTGGACGTGACTGTACCCACCCGTGATCAGGCCATGATCTTATGAAATTAGCCTCTAGACATAAATCAGTCGAAATGAAATTGTATGGGAATTGTAATATTATGGCTTTTGTGGGTTTTTCCTTTAAAAGTACCCATGTGATTGCAATAGGCACGACTCTTGCTCTTTGGAGCTGAGTTTGCCCGACTGTATAGCCGCATCAATAAACCTCTTGCTGGTGCATCAACTGGACCGGAGTCTGGGTTCTTGGGGCAACCCACCGGAGAAGGGAGTACCCTGAGTTTGGGGTCTATCAGTTGGATGCTAACCATTTCTTCATAACTTACATGTGTAAGGGACAAATCGATTTCATCACCTCCAGGTCAGCTTCTGTTTCAGATGGGCCTCACTGAGCACAGCATTATGTTACATCATTAAATTAAGATCCACTGGCCAGGTGGTGGTGGCTCATGCCTTTAATCCCAGCACTTGGGAGGCAGAGGCAGGTGGATCTCTGTGAGTTCAAGGCCAGCCTGGTCTACAGAGCTAGTTCCAGGACAGTCAGGGCTACACAGAGAAACTTAGTCTTGAAAAACCATAAGAAAAAAAAAATCCACTATTCTATCCCGGAGACATTAGATATGGGACAATTGAAACTCATGGCCTTAGCCTAGCCAATAAATTCAGTTTCAGTAATGGATTCCCTGAAATGGAACAAAGGAAAAGGGCCTGTGTTTGCTCTCTGGTGAGATTCTTGACTCTTCTGAGCTTGTCACTGAACAAAAGATAGGAAGGCTGAAAAATGTAAGTCTGGATCATACACCCTGTCAAATAAAAGATTTCAAGTCTTGAGCATACTTTGTAGTCTCAGTGTTTAGGAGGCAGAGATAGAAGAATCAGGGCTTCGAGGCCAGCCTTGGCTGCATAAGCTCCTGTTAAACATACTGTGCCCAGCCCCTCCACCCCCCCAAAAAAAAACAACAACAACCAACCAAGATTGCAAATGTCTTGTGAGAGTCTGCAGGTTTTATGGTCCTTTAGCTCAGAGATGGATCTGTGGTTATGGAGCTTATTAGTCAAAAACTTCGTTTGGATTCCTCAGAAACTTCAACCACCGGAAAATCATCACTATCAGAAAGAGTAATATAAAGGTAACAGAGGCAAGCGTGAGACCTTTGTTCAGATCGAAGCCACTGGGAAGGCTGGAGTCTTCCATGAGGACACACACCTCCTACTGTCTGCCAGACACAGCTATCTCCTCAGGCATGTCTTCAGATTGGTCAGATGTCTAGAAAATAAGAGCAAAAACAGGTTCTTTTTGGGTCTATGCGTGTGTGCGCCTGCATTTCCTCAGGAGCAGCGTGTGGAAACTAAAGAGACCAAGGTTTGGAAAAAAGTGATCAAGATTTATTTAAGAGCCAGACTTGGTAGCACACACTTTTGGTCCCAGCACTCAGGAGGCAGAATCAGATTGATCTCTGAGAGTTCAAGGCTAACCTGCTCTCCATAGCAAGTTCTGGGTCAGCTGGAACTACACAGTGAGACACTGTCTCAAAAACAAGAATAAAAAATCTTTGCCGGGCAGTGGTGGCACATGCCTTTAATCCCAGCACTCAGGAGGCAGAGGCAGGCAGATCTCTGTGAGTTCGAGGCCAGCCTGGGCTACCAAGTGAGTTCCAGGAAAGGCAAAAAGCTACACAGAGAAACCCTGTCTTGAAAAACAAAAACAAAAACAAAAAAAAAAATCTTCAACATTCCCAATTTTGTATCCCTCCCTAAATTTTCTTCTAATTCCTAGGATACCTATTGCAAATAATTGATGTAAGTTTTCTTTTCTTTTCTTTTGTTTTTCGAGACAGGGTTTCTCTGTGTAGCTTTGGGGCCTGTCCTGGATCTCAAAGTGTAGACCAGGCTGGCCTTGAACTCATGGATATCCTCTTGCCTGTGCCTCTTGAGTGCTGGGACTAAAGGCTTGCACCATCATGCCTGGCGTCAGTGTTACCTTTTTTTTTTTTGTTTAAGATTTAAATTTTTTTTTGGGGGGGGGGGCGGTTTTCGAGACAGGATTTCTCTGTGTAGCTTTGGAGCCTGTCCTGGAACTCACTTGGTAGCCCTGGCTGGCCTCAACTCACAGAGATCTGCCTGCCTCTGCCTCCTGAGTGCTGGGATTAAAGGCGTGCGCCACCACCGCCTGGCCGATTTAAAAAAATTTTTACTTATTTAATTTGGTTTTCTAAGACAGAGTTTCTCTCTGTAGCTCTGTCTGTCCTGGAACTCACTCTTCAGACCAGGCTGACCTCTCACAGAGATCTGCCTTCCTCTATCTCCGGTGTGCTGGGATTAAAGGCGTGCAGCAGGACAGTCCAGCTGCCTGGCTTATTTCTATTTTTAAATATGTGTATGCCATGTGTGTTTGGTGTCTTTGGAAGCCAAGAGTAAGTCCTATCCCCATTGAAGCTCACAATCATTCACCCCAGGTGCTAGAAAGCCAGCTTATTTCCTCTGAAAGAGCAACAAGCGTTATTAACCACTGAAGCATCTCCCCAGGCCTGATTGTGTTATCTTAACTCAGTGGGTATTAACATAACATTGTCTTTGTTCCGATTACTGTTTACTATATTGTCATTCTCAATTCTTGATGAAAAATCATGTACATCCAGAGATCAACTTCAATGATGAAAACTTAGTTCATCAGGGCTAAATTGATTGCCCACCAGAACTAGGTGGAGCTGAAAAGGAAGATTCCTCCTTGCTGGCTGTGGTTCATAATGCTGAACGGTGCTATGCAGACTGATGGGGATTGGAGGGAGTTACAAAAAATGGCTCAGTGGTTAAGAGCATTGCTGCTCTTGCAAAGAAACTGGGTTTGGTCCCCACACGTCAGCTGACAATCATTTGTACGTTAGGTTCTGGGGAATTCGATACTGTCTTCTGACCTCTGGAAAATCTAAGCACACACATGGTACACATACATACTTGTAGAGAAACATTTGCACACATTTAAAAAGTTTTAAGTTTTACCCATTTATGAGCTCCTATGTACTGCACAATCAAAGTACCAGGTACAGTTGTGTTCATTGGCGATAGACTGTTATGGGGGCTAACCTATTGCTTTTTTTTTTTGTTTTTTTTTTTTTGTTTTTTTTTGTTTTTT